CAAGGAACCCAGACCTTTGACAAGAAATGAGCCTGATGGTTGTGGACCAAAGTCAAATCAAATTTACATATTTTTATTCCTACTGTTAAAAATATAGTGGACACAGAGTAAGTAGTTCCTAAAGTAAAAGACACTGGGCTTGGGGTCTCATACTCCAATGTGAGTCCCAGTTTTTTTTTTTTTTTTTGCACACATGGTGTGACATTTGACCCATTGCTCAATACTCATGGACTTCAGTCTTCTAAGTCCTACAAAACGGACATAAAGATATCTACCTCATGTTTCCTAGAAAGGTTTATGTGAAATAATTGGACAAAAACCATAACACAATACCTGGTGCTTAGAGTGTGTGCAGTAAGCAATTGTTTTGCTTCTCCTTCCTGGGAACAAAGACTGCAATGGTTTGTCTCCTGGGGTTCTTGAAACTGAGCAGCTAAGCCTCAAAGTGTGTTTTGCTTTAGGAAGCCAAAAGCAGAGAGGTGTGTGGGACAAGAAACTGAGCCCCACAACACAGACCTTTCCCCTTCCTGGTGCCACGTGGCTGGTCATCACAGTCACAGCCCCGCCTTAGCTGGTGAAGCAGACCTTGTTCAAACTCTTGAAAGTAATCTTACAGAAATCACCTGGTGAAGAGCAGTGCACGTGTTTTGTGATAAGACCAATTGGGCTTCCTACATTAGGTGTGTGTCACTTAACTTATAGCCTCGACAACGGACTGACTTTCTCTCTACAGAAGGGACGGTGGTGCTTGGCCTCAGAGGAAGGCTGTGGGTCCCCAGGTATGGATTATAACCCTTAGCATAAAGTAGCATTCAGTGTCACTCTCTCTTCTAAAACTTTGTTAAGAAAAGCAGTGATTCATTCCATGCAAGACAGTTTAGGTGAATCAGGTAACCATAATTTCTCTAGCATTCTTTTTCTGCTGTAGCTATTTTATTTATTTTTATTGATCTATATTAGATTTACATATTTTAAGGTACATACAATAATTTGATATATTCATATAATCATATCAGAATAACTGGAATATCTATCACCTTAAATATTTATCTTTAAGCCTAGAACATACAATTAATGGGTATAAATATACAGTTAGAAGAAATAAGACGTGGTGTTCAATAGCTCAGTCAGGTGACTGTAGTTAATATTAATCCATCATACATTTCAAAATAGCTAGCAGAGAATAGTTCTAACATTTTTTATTTGTTTCTTCTTTTTTTTTTTTGAATTCTAATGAACCGATTACAGCAGCCCTCCCAGTAGCCAAAATAATACCTTCCTCAAAATGCACTTCAGAAATGTAAACTCAACCAGGCTCGGTGGCTCAGTCTGTAATCCCGCGCTTTGGAAGGCTGAGGTGAGTGGATTGCCTGAGCCCACAGGTTCGAGACCTGTATGGGCAACTTGGTGAGACCTCATCTCTACAATAAATCAAAAAATGAGCTGGGCGTGGTAGCGCGCGCACCTGTAGTTCTAGCTACTTGGAAGGTTGAGGCGGAAGTATTGCCGGAGCCCAGCAGGTCGGGGCTGCAGTGGCCAGGAGCGGTCACTGCACTCCAGTCTGGGTGACAGAGTGAGACTCCAACTCAAAAAAAAAAAAAGAAATGTAACCTCAGTGGTTGAAACATAGAACTCACTCTCCCGGTGTTTGCGAAAGAAAAAGTGTTAGCCCTGCCACAGTGCCTCCCATTCCCAGGGAATCCAAAGCTCCTGAGGACAGGCTGGCATGGCAGCTAGGGTGAACTCCTTGCACCTTTACAACCTCAATCCAGGAGCCATCTCCTAGTTCACAAGTTCCACTGCCTGGGCGAAGCTTCTCAAATTCTTGGGTCTTTAATTCCCTTCTATGTGAAGTAGGGACAAAAGGAACTACTTCAAAGTATTTTTATAAGGCAATGCATGTAAAGCATTTATAAGAATATTTGGCATATAGCAGATACTCAGAATATTGTAGCTATTAATATTGCTACAACAATAAGTTTAATCAAAACCAACAATAATATTGTGAGAAAGTCATAATAATATATATCAAAGGATATTAGTAAAACACAATGTCTTTCTCATAAGCCATTCGTATGACCAGGAAGCAAGGCATAACTCCTGACTTCCTCTTGAGATTCAGACAACACTATTTAGATGCAAACTTAACTAAAAGAGCTACTCAAAAAAGTTGTCACTCTAAGCAAATACTAGTGTTCAGGGAATGTTCTCAGGTGATTTAAACCACATCCAGAATACCTGATTATAGCTTTGCAAATGCTTGCAATACAAGGGCTGCCTCTGTGCTAAGCCCCTCGAGAGCATTTTCTTATCCTAGATGTGGTCTTTCCTATTAGCAGTGAAACATATGCATTTAAAGTACTGCTGGCAGGATCTATTATTGTAGGATAAACCCCATAAACAAAACATAAATGTAAAGGAATGTTTAAAGTAATTGCAAATTGGAGACTAGTTTGATGCCACAGGGTAAATTGTTAGTAGGTGAACATCAGAGCATGAATTAGCTAGGGACAGTGTTAACTGAGGAACAGGAGAGTCTTTGATGATCATTTAAGGTTGGGCTCTCCTGTGAAGTGATTTTCTCCCCAAATGTCTTATATCTGGGCCTTTCCCTAGGCCAACTGAGTCAAGCCTCCAAGGTCAGGACCTCATAATATACATTTTGCACAAAATATCCTGACTTGGACTCCAGGTTAAAAACCAAGAATGTACACAAAGACCCTATTCTGTACATGGATGACCAAGTCAGATCATGTAACTTGTCAACAGTCATACATCTCCTTTGTTTCAGAGCTAGAAGTAGAACCTAGCAATTTTGACCCCCGGTCTGAAGCCGTTTACATAGCACTGGTCAATATAAAATAACATAGAATGAAAAGAAGTGAGTCTTGGAATTGAGTGAGTCTTGGAAGTGAGTAACCCAGCAAAGTTGAGCCTTTGTGAGGAGGGCAGTGAGAAAGAAAGGCCTGGTATGGGCATCTGCTTCCCATTTTTAGGAGGAGAACCCTTACTTACAAATGGCTGAGGTGATGGTGGCCATGTGGAAATGTTGGCTGTGGCTGGGGAAAACAGGGATGGATTCTCTTAGGATAGCTGCTAAGTACAGCAGAGGACACAACCCTGATACCTTTTTTGACCCCTTCTTGACCGATTGAAAATAAGGGGCTATAACTGCAGTTACCAGCATGGAAATTTCCTGGATTCCTAAATGCATGGGTTGTTAAGTACAGAAAGGGACCTTCATGTGTTTGAATACCCTAATTTCACAGTCTCAGGGGAGGCAGATGACTTGTTCAGGTTCAAGAAATCAGCAACTAGCAGAACTAGGACTCAAGTCTTAAGAGTTTAGTATTGTGACTCATTCATTTCCCCAAATCATGAGCATGTCCCCACGTGGCCCAGGAATGCCCTAAAGTCACTGTACACAGATAAGTATAGATGACACCCACTGCCCCTAAATCACACAGTCCCACTTGCTCCTTCCATGAAGACAGTTTCATGTAGCAGTCCCTGGATCACTGGTGTCAGAAACACCTGAGTCTGTGCTCACATGCAGACTATTGGGCCTGCCTCAGCTGTACTGACTCAGAATTCCTGTGGGTGAGGCCAGGAAGCCTGGCTCAACAGGTGGTAGCTAGGTATCCAAACTTCTGAGAAAACCCAAGAGGAGACCTCGAAGCTCTGGGATCTTTTGGTGCTGTGCCAAAGAGCAGAAAGCATAGCACGTAAGATAGACCTATTCGAATGTGTCATCAGTTCTTTCACTGAAGAATGATCAGTTAAGATCACACCATAAACCAGTCACTGTTTACTATGCTGGGAACAGCAGTCAACAGAACAACCAACTGTTGCTGTGAGCAACTGTATCTGGACAGTCATGGAAGGCCCCAGAAAGCCAGGGCACAGATTATCGATACCTGGTGCCTGGGGTGGGTGTGTTTGCCAAGGCAAGGAGGGGGTGGATGTCAGAAAAGAACAACTTAACGGTGTCCAAGAAGAGCAACTGCTCCTCAGAAGCAGTGTTCATGGAGCCATGTTGCCATGGATACAAACAGCAACTGGTTCTTTACGGGAACTCTGGTGTCAGAGTGGTTTGAAGTGCTTTGGTCCTTGTGGAGAAGACCTAGCCAGACCAAACCCCCCTTGGCTGGGGTGGGTAACCCTCTACCATGCAACCTCCTGGGGTAACAATGCCACCTCAAGAAAGTCTTCAGCAAGGCAAAATTAAGGAGAAAACAAAAAGTTCAGTGGTAGCCATGGGTTGAGGGGGTGGAGGGATGCAGATACAAACACAGGTGGAGCTCAGAGGATTTTAGGGTCGTGAAAATAATCTGTGTGACACTACAATGGTGGATACGTCATTACACGTTTGTCTAGACTCATAGAATGAACAAAACCAAAAGTGAATACTGATGTAAATTATGGACTCTTCATGACGATGACATGTCAGAGTAAGATCATCTGGTATAACAAATGTACCACTCCGATGGGAGAAATAAAATTTTTTTTTTTTAAATCAGAGTCTCACTCTCTCACCCCAGCTGGAGTGCAGTGGCATGCTCATGACCAACCCAGGGACGACCTGCTGGGCTCTGGCGATCCTGCCACCTCAGTCTTCCAAGCAGCTGGAAATACAGGCATGTGCGACCATGCCCAACTAATTTTTTGATTTATTGTAGAGATGAGGTCTCGCCAAGTTGCCCAGGCTGATCTCGAAATTGTGGGCTCAGACAATCCTCTCAACGTGGTCTCCCAAAGTACTGGAATTATAGGCGTGAGCCATAAAAATTGTTTTTTTAATAATAGAGTATATAAAACGATGAAACTTTTTAAAGTGTGCTGTTTCACAGGGTATAATAAAAGCTATGATATTATTTAAAAATCAAGTTTTGAGAAACAAAGACTGTCCAAATGATCAGAAGTTAGAAGGAGCTTGGGCCTTGAGCTAGTCACTGAATTGGATATATTCAGAGAAATGATCACCCCTCGCTAAGACTTACCACCTCGATCCAGAAGGGGATTGGTGGGCTGCTAGGATCCCTTCTTCAAGCTTTTATGTTCTGGGACAAGGCTGCATGCCGATGAGAAAAGAAATCAGAATAACACAGGCAAAAGTAGAGCAGCACAATTCCCACAAAGCCATAAAAATGTACTCTTTGGAACATAACAGCTGAGCACATGCAACAGCTCAGGGTCTATAACTCAGCATATGTAAAGTTTATAAATTAATGTAATAGGATGCAGGGTAACATCTGTTCTGTAGCACCCAACAGAGGGGATTTAGATATTTGAGAAGAGGCTCTGCACATACTAAAGTCAGTCCAGGAACACGTGAGCAGTATTTACAGTGAAAGGTCCCCATTTCTAACTATGCACATCTGTTTCCAGACTACTCAGAACAGGCGTGTAGCCCCCTCTGAAGGGAAAGCCCCTTCCTGGGGAAGTGGCTTGCTGACAAATAAGACTGAAGCAGCCTGCCCTTCCCACCGCCTGTGCTCCACCCGCAGGTTGTCCATGCTCACCAGCCAGTTGCCCTCCCTGGCACTGGTGTGTGCCTGGCCCCAGTGGACGGGGCCATTGCAAAACCACTGCTGGTTATTGCATTTGATCTAGTCCCATCATGGGTTCATTGAAGAACCTTTGCTTAATTTAAGATCAAAACAGTACTTTCTTCTCCCTCTGAAAAAGAAACAGCATCAGCAACAACAATAGTATCTTGGAGCAATGAAGAACCCTATATGGGCTGCTAAGTAACTGAGTATTTTACCTCCTTAAAATAATGTTCTGAGTTACTCTGCAGCAGTCCTTATACCCCATGTTTTTCAGTAGAAATGATGACATTAATGGAAGAGAGCTATGAAAAGGTACATGGCAGCCGGCACACTGGCCCAAGTCTGTAATCCCGAGACTCTGTGAGGCTGAGGTGAGAGGACTGCCTGAGCCCAGGGGTTCAAGACCAGTCTGGGCAACTTGGTGAGACCTCTTCTCTACAATAAATTTTAAAAACTTGCCGAGCTTGGTGGCACTCGCCTGTAGTTCCAGCTACTTGGAAGGCTGCAGGGGAAGGATCGTCTGAGTCCAGCAGGTCAAGGCTATGGTGGTCGTGATTATGTCACTGCACTCCAGTCTGGGCAACGGAGTGAAACTCCAACTAAAAAAAAAAAGAAAAACGAAGCACATGGCAAACTGCTGCTGCATCGCAATTGCCCAAAAGAGGGAGAAGGAAAGCTGGTGAGGGTGGAATGCGCTCTCTGTGGCATGCCTAGGAGATAAAGGGGTGTCTCCAAAGCACAAGCTCAAGCTCTGGTGGCTTTTAAAAGCTGGGTATCCACTGATATTTCAGAAGCTGGGTATCCATAATTCCAAAATCACTTTGCAGGGGTTCAGAGATGAAATCTCAACACTCAAATGTCACAGAGGTGTTTTCTCAGGGAAGCTGGCAAACACCTTCACAGCCTCAGAATAGAGCAGTCACCATGACAAATGGTATAGTTAAGGGACAACAAAAGGAAAAGACTAAGCTTCACACACACACACACACACACACACACACACACACACACACACACACACATCATTGAGTTCAGACAGCAAAACAAGATATAAAATAGAACATGGAATGCATGTAGATCATCATGCGGGACTCATCTAATTTTCAGGGATAACTAGACTAAAACAACTTTTTCCAGTCTGACACCTAAGAAAGGTGCCAGACTGAACTTTTTGTCATTTACTTTTTGTCATTTACATTTTCTTCTATTTATTAAAAGGGAAAGAAAGAAGAAGAAAAAAGAAATGTTAGTAGTTGACTATTGTATCAACTACTGTTCTGAGTGTTTCCATATATTACATAATTTAATATTTTCAGAGTCCTCTGATGAATAACTATTATTATTTTCATTTTACCAATATACTCTGATAAAATGTAAATGATGACATACATTCAGAGACACTAGGAAACTCATTGAAGAAAGACAAACAGCTAACAGGCAGCAAACCCAAGCTTTAAGCAGGTTTTGTCTAAAACCCTCTTCTTTCTCCCCTATGATATATAGCACTGCTGTTTGAACTTTCCATTTATTCTTGGTTGTTCATACAATGTTCTAAATCCATGGTTTCTTCATTATGCAGAAGGGAAATAAATAGTTATGAGACCAAGGTCACCTAAGAACTTCTGGAAGGTAACTCAAAGCTCTACTCGTTGCCACTCCATTGCAGATAAGTCCCAGAGATCATGGAAGGGGGATTCTGCCTCTGAGCTCCACCTAATTAAATTTTATCCAGATTAAAAGTCTAGTCTCTGATAAACTCTTTGCCATGAGCTTTCCTTTAAAAAAAAAATGGCGATTTTATTTTTTAGAAGAGTTTAACATTCAAAAGATATAGAGCAGAGGATGAACTACTTATTGCAGGAAAAATGTAAACATGATATCCCCAGCAGTTCACATTCCCACCACCGATCCTTGCAAACTTAGCCACAGGAGAGTTCTCAGATCTTTTGGGCCCTGATTCTGTATACATATATATACATAAATAGAAACCATTGAATGAGAGAGCAAAACAGAAGAGACAAAAAGAACAGAGGACGCTGCCTAGAGTATATGTGATGGCATTGTTCCAGGGAGTTTCCACTGTGTCTCCAAACCCCCAAGACCCAAGTAACTGCAGCAGCATGAGTCCTTTTTTTTTTTTGAGAGTTGGAGTCTCACTCCATAGCCCAGGCTGGAGTGTGGTGGCATGCTCACGGCCACACCGGCCTTGACCTGTTGAGCTCTGACAATCCTTCTGCCTCAGCCTTTTAAGTAGCCATAACTGCAGGCATGCGCTATCATGCCCAGCTAATTTTTGAATTTATTGTGGAGACAAGGTCTCGCCATGTTGCCCAGGCTGGTCTCGAAACTGAGGGCTCAGGCAATTCTTTCGCCTCGAACTCCCAAAGTTCTGGGATCACAGGCTTGAGCTGCCACCCTGGGTCAGCATGGTGCTATTTTAAGAATGCAGTTCCTACCCTAGGGACCAACATCCCCTGCCCCTCCACATACCTAGAGCCTCAGTGGCACTCCCCAGGATCCATGCAGGGGGCTGCAGCATGGCAGCACTGGCTAGACACAGGAGTGCAGTCAGATCAGCAGCACTCCAGCCCAGACAGCATCCTACACCCTATGATGTGGGTGGGGCAGGGCAATAGGGAGGCTGCCCCAGGAACAAAGAGCATTGAAGTGCTGAAGTGTATATTCCCCAGAGCTTGAGAGCCACCTGTCATGGGCCATGGCCACTGAAAGCAGCCCTGTCCTCTCCAGTTCCTAATTGTACCTTTGGGAGATGTGGACACCAACTCACCTTCAAGCCTGCTCTGTCCATCACAACTGGCTCCCACACACATTTTCTAGGGACCTGACCACTGATTCACCCCACCCACCACCATCACCATGTGCACTGTCCCAGGAGGTCCTGGAGATTAACCCACTCCATCTGGTACCACCAAGCATAAGCGTGCATTGTCCAGGAACAAAACAATGGGACCACCTTTCCTGTAGCCACTGTTTTCAGCACCCACTCACATGTGCCACCTGGGGACCTAGGGACTGGCCCAATCAGCCTATTGCCATGGCCAGAGGCATTTATGTATGCCATTCAGGAGCTCATAGGTTGGTCTGCCACTGCTACTGCCACTGCCAAGGTCATGCATACCATCCAGGGACTCAAGGACCTGCCTGCCCTGGCAGCCCTATCACAGCAAAGCCTCATCACAGCCTCCATTAACAACTGCAGCCTAAACCACCAAGGAATTCAAAGATACCACTGATGCTGATAATGCCTGAAGAAATCATATGGAGACTACACTGCACACCTACCCAGAGACAAAGCCAAAGCACCCTCCCCAAACAATACTGTAGATAGACCTACTGGAAAAAGACTTACCAGAAAAAGACTATGAAAACCAATCCATAAAATTGGAAGAAGCAACTAGTACACCAGATGTAAGAACACAAGAAAGCTGAAAAAGCAAGAAAATGTAACACTTCAAACACACACACATGCATACACACACTCACAATAATTCTCTAGTAACATATCCCAAAGGAAAGAAAAACATACAATGCCTGAAAAAATGATTAAAAATAATAATATTAAAGAAATTCAGTGAGATACAAGAAAGAATCTCAAAGTGTAAGTTCCATAGAAAATGCAGGAGACACCCTTATTAAAATTAGAACTGGTAACCAATTCCTGATCAAAGCTCCAAGCGCCCATGCCATTAGAGATAAGATAGACAAGTGGGACCTCATCAAACTGAAAGACTTCTGCAAAGCAAAAGAAACCATCAGGAAAGCAGGGGGACAGTCCACAGAATGGGAAAAAAATATTTGCCAGCTGTATATCTGATAAAGGCCTAACATCCAGGATCTACGAAGAGCTCAAACATGCTGAAGGGGGCAGGTGGGCAAAAGACATGAATAGACATTTTTCAAAAGAAGATACATGGACAGCCAATAGACACATGAAAAAGTGTTCAGCCTCACTAATCATCAGAGAAACGCAAATCAAAAACACATTGTGATACCACCTAACCCCAGTAAGAATGGCTATAATTAATAAAACAAACAACAACAGTTGCTGGTGAGGATGTGGAGAAAAAGGAATGCTTCTACCCTGCTGGTGGGAATGCAAACCAGTGCAACCTCTTTGGAAAATAGTGTGGTGATTTCTAAAAGAACTAGACATTGACGTTCTATATGACTTGGAAATCCCCCTACTGGGAATATACCAGGAGGAACTCAAATCATTCTACAAAAAGATACCTATACACACATGTCATTGCAGCACTACTCACAGTAGAAAAACATGGAAGCAACCATACTGCTCATGAAAACTGAACTGGATTTAAAAAATGTGGTACACATATAATGGAAAATTATGTAGCCATAAAGAAGGACATATATATGGACTTCACAGCAACATGGATGGATTTAGAGTCATACTCAGTGATCGATCACAGAAACAAAATAAAGAGTACCACATGTTCTTACTTATAAGCAGACCCTGAACATTTACCA